TTCCGATCCTTGTGCCTTCACCTCCAGAGTGTTAGAATAGCAAGCACGGCTGGAGGGTTAGGGAGGCAGAGCCTGACAGACATAACCCAGGCCCAGAGGCTGGCAGTCACCGCCGGGGAGACAACGTGGAGGAGGCACAGCCAGGAAGCACACCGGAGAGGCGGAGCTCAGAGGGGGGGCTTCTGCACGGGAAAGGCGGAGCCCAGGAGGGCGGGGGGAACTTCCACTTGGGAGGGTGTGTGAGGGTGGGGACTGGGCGGCCGTGAGCGTTACAGCTGGCAGGGAACTCCTTCGCCAACTCTGCAAGATCGCCAGGCGGCACCAGGGCGAAGGCTGAGCTGCAGAGGGAATCCTGGTGCCTGCAGAGTTTAACAGAGACGCGGAGAGGATCGGGAGAGCCGGGACTAATCTACCGGGCCCGCCCGACAAATCTCTTCTCCTCATTTACTCCACTGACTCGTTGTGACTAGGCCTGCTGCCGGCTCTCTGGTTTTCCTCTTGGTTTCCAATTTGATCAGGGACCTCTCCAAGGTAACATATGCAAACACATTTTTTTTCTTTTTTCTTTTCCTTTGGTTTTTGTTTTGTTTTTTTAGGCTTGTTTTTGTTTTTTGGGTTTGTTTGTTTGTTTTGAGACAGGGTTTCTCTGTGTAGCCCTGGCTGTCCTGGAACTCACTCTGTAGACCAGGCTGGCCTTGAATTCAGAGATCACCCGCCTCTGCCTTCCTAGTGCTGTGAATGAAAAGCATGTGCTGCCATCGTTGGGCAAAGACTCAGTTCTTAAAAAGAAAAAAAAAAAAATGCTGACCTCAAAAGGAGTCCACGGGCTTGCCTAGAATAAATCAGAAAGACTGCAACTTTGTGCAGAACTGTGTCTCCAGAGTGCTCGGGAACACTGGGGCCTTTCATGTGTACAACTCCCCTTTCATTCACTCTGCAATTACTGAGTCCCTGCTACAGGAGTGTCAGGACACCACCCAGAGGCCTGACTCACCCCTCCTTCACCCTCGGTCCCTGAAGAGATCCCCACCGGGTCCACTGCAGCAGCCACGATGAGTCACTGGCAAAGCCAGTTTGGGACACAGGCAAGCACAGTAAAAGCCAAACATTGAAGCACAGGGCAAGCAGGCTGCCTACCGTCACGTCACGCGAAGAATAAATATGGAGCAAGGTACTTTAACATCGATGAACTGAAATGTGGACACAGGAAAGCTTTTTATTTGGAGTGAGGGAGAGTAGAGCACAGGCTAGCCTACCCAGGCTGTGAAGAGGCCCACGGGGACTCTCTTAGCCAGAACAGCAACCACCCGGGACCCGATGTGATCACATCTCAGTATTTCCTTTGAATTCTTCAGCACTTTATGTTATGATGCATCTAAGAACATGATCCTGAGTTTGTTCTGGTGGCTCACATCTCTAACTGTAGTCCTCGGGATTTCAAGGCAGGAAGATAGCTGTGAGTGTGAGAACAGCCTGGACTACAATAGTGAGCTTCGGGCCAGCCTGGCTATAAAGTGAGATTCTGTCTCAAAAAACAAACAAACAAACAAACAAACAAACAAAAACAAAAACAGACAAAACGCTCAAACAACAGCAAACCTCAAACAACCCGCATAACAATACAATGCGGGTTTGAGAAGGTCCATAGACTTTCCTGACTCCCCACACAGCCTGGGGCACACAAAAAGTTTAAGACCAACATGGGTCAATGTGTGTATATGATGAACCCAGAACCCCCGAGCCAGACAGCTTTGAGACATAACTCCTGTCAGTGGGGAACTGGCCATCCCTATTTCCTGTGATGGCTTTTCCTGGGGGCTCTGGCTTTTTAAGCAACCCAGAATTCCTAAGCCCCTTAATTTTGTTTGTCTGAGCTAGGATCTTGTGTATCCTAGGGTGACCTCCAACAGCCTGTGTAGCGGAGGATGGCCTTGAACTAATGATTGTCACCTCCCAGATGCTAGAGTTGTAATCATGTACCACTAGACCAGGCTCATAAGGTGCTAGGGACTGACCCTAGGAATGGTGTGTGCCAGGCAAGCACTGGGCTGAGTTAAATCCCCAACCCTCATTAACGGTTGATCCCGGCAACATCCTCTGTGGAAAAGTACATTGTAATCCCACGGATGAGAAAGGAGCTCAGAAAGGCAAAGGTTATACAGTAAACAGCAAAGCTGGGCTTGGAGCCTGTGTTCTCTATGAGGAGGCCCCTCTCCTTCCCTTTACAGAGTGCCAGTTCCTCAATAGGGCAGGTAGGCCAGGTGGAGGGAAAGTTAGTGTGGGTGAATGTCTTCAGTGAAGGGAAAGGTCCTGGGAGGTGATGTCACATTTTCAAGCACATTTTTGGAACCTGCTGAGGATACCCGTCCGGGCTTAGCTAACATGGAGTGGAGGATATGGGGTAGGAGGAGATGGGAAATGCAGCATTAAGTTTCAGGCCTCAGAAGTGGAGCGAGCCTCCTGGCTCATTCATCTGGTTCCAGCCACAGTTGCCTGTGATAGTGTCCCATCATCTACCACCCCTGCCAGACAACTCCTGGCTTGGGGGATGGCTCCTGCAGATTAGAATCTGATGCTCTACCTGCCCCAATGCTATCTCATCCCACCCCCACAGCACCCCTGTGAGGTAGGTGGTGTTTCCTCTCATTTTGCAGATGAAGAAACTGAGAAGAAACACACAGAAGTTAGACGAGAGAGAGAGAGAGAGAGAGAGAGAGAGAGAGAGAGAGAGAGAGAGAGAACTCTGGCATTTGTCTTCACAATTTATGCCGGTATACAGCATTGCCTCTGTATGAGCAGGAAGTAAGGGCAGAGGGACATTTCATCTCTAGGTGAGTCCATAGGTCTCCAGCCAATAGAAGGGACCGGGGGCATTCCTGCAGCAGACCCCCAATTGCCCAAGCCAGAAAGTGTGGTCGGGCAGCATGTGGCCAGTGCTGGGGGACCTGCACTGTGAAAAGGGATGCAGCACCCTGTCAGAAGCACGCATGTCACAGTGACCACTGTCCCCCCCCCCACCGGGTCCCCTTGACCACTGTTCTTCCCACATCTGGCTTGCAATGTTTGCAGATGTGCTCGCTGAGGTCACTGTGGAGGGCAGGCTAGCAGCGGCCGGCCCACAGGTCCATCGCCTTGGTCACAGCGTACATTCCAGTCCTGCAGGAAAGGCTCGACTGAGTCACACACGAGGGAGGCTGATCCCAAACAGGGTGAGCCAGGCTGGCCAAGCCTGTGCTTTCAGACTGAGGCGCTGAGTCTTTCTCTATCGGGAAGACACCAGGGCTGGCCCAGGAAAGACGGGACAAGGGAACAGACACCAAGGCTAGAACCTGTTACAACAGGACCCAAGGCTGCTGTGGTGTCAGAGGCAACCAGAGGGCTCAGAGGGAGGCAGGCAGGGAGAGGAGCAGCCTGGCAGGCAGACAGCACTGTGATCTTCTGAGCTGCCAACCCCCTGTTCTCACCATTCTGTCAGGAGCTGTAAGGGTACCTCTGGCCTCTGAAGAGAATGGGGACGCAGTGGGAGGGACGGGGACCCAGCCTGACAATGTGGCCTTGAGAAACCCTAGCAACAAGGTCTAGGTCGACTAACAAACATAAAACAGATTGGGGGCTGGCTGCAGGGCACATATCGGGGGTGGGGGGGGTGGAGTGCCTGACTGGTGAGCACAAAAATCTACAACCTAGTTGGTGAGCTGTCTCAGCGGGGTGAAGGCGATTGCTGCCAAGCCCCGTGACCTGAGTTTGATCCTTAGAATCCACATGCTGGAAGGAGAGAACAGATTCCTGCAAGTTGTCCTCTGACCTACACACACACACACACACACACACACACACACACACATGCACACACGCACACACGCACTCACAAACGCACACACGCGTGCGCGCGCGCGCACACACACACACACACACACACACATATACAGTATGTGTAATTTAATTTAAAAAGACCTACAATGTCAAGGATACTAGAGTAAAGTGAGAAATACTGTTAAGCAGTGGATTGGTGTGGGAGGGGCGGGGTTTGCTGAGCTGGTGATGACCCGCGGAGACACGAAGGAAAGACTCCCCCAAACCCCTCCCGAAGTGTGCAGAATACCAGTTGTTCCTCTCCCTTCCCGGGAGTTTTCCAAGGCTTGCAGCCCGGAGCCTGGACTGTCCGCTCCGCTAGAGTGACAGTCATAGGGAGAGGAGCTAGCCCTGCTGGGCAGAAACAAAGCCGGCTGGACAAAGGACCGAACTTCAAGGCAGTTCTAGCTGAGACCTGGCCCACTGTGGCCAGGAGGGTCAGCAAATACGATCGCGCTGCTGCTCCCAGCCCTGGCATGGCTGTTTTCCGTTCTAGGCAATGAAGGCTGCCAGACCGACCTCAGCCAAACTTGCACACCTCCTCCTCGCTCCACCCCTCACACCCTCATCTGCCACGCCCGCGCGGCCTGACGCGGTCCAGGCACACCCGTGTTTTGGGAAGCCTCTGAAAGGGCAGGGAGAACTCGGTGGTCCAAGGATGCTGTTCCCTTCCTTCCCCGACTCCCTTGGTGCCATCTGGACCGAGGAGCCCCACCTTTTATGAACAGGATAAGGGGGAACTCCCGAGAGAAGTCTGCACTGCTCCCCGATCTCTTGGGCCAGATTTGGGAGAAAGTCTGGAAACGCCCAAGGTTCTGCCCAGCCCGGGCTGAAGTTTTCCAGGATCCCGCCAGGGGCCAAGGAGTCAGTCTCACCGGTAGTACAAATGCAGCACGAGGAGCTACTACCCCTGCCCCTGGGGTAGGGACAGGCTTTCCCGAGGGTCTCCCCTGCGGGCGGGACACTCACCGTGCAGGGTCAGGAAGTCCCGACCCGAGTCCATGCCCGTCGGGGCGAGCGGCGGAGGGGACGCGGCGTGACTCACGTGAGCAGCAACCGAGCGGCCTGGGGTCCGAGCGCAGGCCGGTGCAGGGACCCGACTGGACTGCGGTGGGAGGAGGCCGGAGGGTGGGTCCACGGCCCCGCCCCGCCCCCCGAGCCCGCCAACCCGCGCTTCTCCCCGCCCCCTCCAGGGGACCGGGAAAGGACGCAGAGCTGGGGGCCGGGAAGACTGGCCAACCCTGGCCGGGGCTCTAGCCAGCTGGGTGCGCCCGGGCCAGAAATAGTCAGATTCCTCCTGCTTCCTCCACCGCCGCCTCCCACAGGCCCTGTCATTACCGCGGGCTGCCGGCCCCACGCCCTGCCTGTGGGCGCCTCGCCTCGCTGGGGTTGTGGGTGATGCGGGAAAGAATCAGAATCCGGTCTTAGCGGGGACAGGAATCACTGCTAAAGCGGCATTCTAGCCGGGCAGTCCGGGTCGTCTTCTGAGAAATGGGTGCAGGCACCGGCCCACATTGCGAGGTTTAGGGAGAGTAATAGCTACATTTTTGTCAGGAGAGGGTCCCCTCCCTTTCTCTGGGAGACTTCTCACTTCCGGGAGGGTTGTGGGGAGGGTGTTGAGGCAGGTGCAGGTCTTTCATCGGGGGAGAGGAGAGATGGGAGGCCTGCCATGAGGCTGCCTGAGGAAGAGTGCCCTAGCGAACTCCACCCCTGATGCTGAAGACAATTAAAGTCTGGCTCACCTCAGCTCCTTCTCTTCTGGCACTACCAGGCCAGAACAGCTGGAGGGCAGTTTCCCGATTCTGAGTGTTGAAGTTGGGCTTTAGAGAGCCACCTCATGTACCCCCACCCCACAGTGTGGGGCTGGCTCTTTGGCGCTCACCCTCGTCCTGATGCCCTAGGAAGGCCCCCCCTTTCCACAAGCTGGGGCTGTATTACACCAGAGATGATCAAGGCTCCACGTAGACAGAGCCTGGGAGGGAGAAAGATGAGAAATTCCCTTCTCTCCCGAGTCCTACTCTCCAGGTCCTTCCTGAGCCTCGGAGCCTCCCACCTAGATCTCCGATCCTGCCAGGTCCTCTCATCAGTGAGTCAGGACTCCACAGGCCAGCTCCTCTCGCCAACCTGAGACCAAGAAGTCCCGACACCAGCAGTTGGCATGGCTTCATCTCCAGCATCATTTCTACTTCTTGTCATCCCTGTCTGTGAGTTCTGGGCTCCAAGCCAGGGCGTTATCCAGCACCAGGGCCCTCCCTCTACCGCAAATGGCCACGGTGGGGTTTACAGAAGGTTTACCCTTTGCATACTCCAAACTCACTTGAAACAGGCCTTTTTCTGGCTTCCGTTGCACACATAGGCGCTCACGTCCCCTCCCTGGCCTGGGGTTGCCAAACAGAAGGGGCATGCTGACTCAGAGCTGGCCAAGCAGCCAGGTTCTGCCAGAAATGAGGTATGCCACGCCCTGCTCCAAGTGGTGACCTGTAGCACGGCATTCTCCTTTTTCTTCTTCCTCTCTCACAGGGTGAGAGGGCCTTTGCTCTGTGCAACTAGTTATAAGTATTGTTTGTCGGGTGACTGTCTATCTGGTGGTGGAGGGGGCGGGAGGCTGGGACAGGTAAGGCACAGCGAATACAAAGTGACTGGACTAGGTCTCTCTACCCTCAACTTCTAGGGGCAGCCGTGGGAACCTCGTCCTGCCCAGATGCCTCATTACCCTACCCAGAACCTTCACAAAACATCCTGAAACCCTGATGACTCATAGGACTCAGTGGCAGGCTTACTCTGGAGCACAAAGCGGCTGAGATCTGTCCTGTTTAGGCAGAGTTCCAGGCATGGCCCCTCCCCCAGCCCCTGGCTGTCCCAGGGCCAAGTGTCTGTGCAAAGGTGGGTGTGGGGGAGGGGCTTCTGAGGTGACTGTGGGCAGGTGAAGGAGGTCCAGCATTAGAGCAGATGCTGCCAAGGGTCACTGCTGTCTCCCACACCAGGCCTTGTTCCGGAGGTGGTATGGGCAGTGTGTGCACTATCAACACAAGAATGCTAAATTTCAGGATGGTCAGGCTCTGGGGCTGGCCTTGCTCAGTCCCTCCCCCATGAAACTCAAACCAAGAGGCCAATGAGGTTCATTCAGTCCCCTCCCAAGGTTAGAACCCAAGTCCCCAGTTTCAGGGTGAAGGGGCCCTTTAAACCTTGGCTCTGCAGTTTCCTGATGTGAGAATCTGAGCAAATCGCTTTGCCTCTCTACAGCTGGGAGTAGCCATGGGCTCTGGGATGAACAGAAGTAACAGCTGTCCAGCATGTGGCACCAATACTTGCCTACCAAGGCATCTGAGCCAGAAATCATTTGCCCACAGCCATTCTCTATATGGCTTCTCTAACATATGCTGGTAGCCACGGAGGCTCTTGGTCAAAGGGCATGCCCCTGATGTTTGTGAAAACAGTGAACTTTCACCTGGGTTCCATGCAGAAGGTCCTGAACCAGGTCCAGTTGCATCGACAGGAAATGGGAAGGTCGCCTGTCCAAGAAAGAGGCAGATATAGCAAGGAAGGGTCTTCAGACCACACTGGGCTGATGTCAGTCATGGGATGCAGGGATCCAGATGCCAGTGTGAGCTACAAGGTTGCAGCCCTCCTGGTAATCACAGGACAGCACAGGGTTCTTGAGAGTTTCTTTCTTTTCTTTTCTTTTTTACAAGACAGGGTTTCTCTGTGTAGCCCTGGTTGTCCTGGAACTCGCTTTTTAGACCTGGCTGGCCCAGAACTCACAGAGATCTGCTTGCCTCTGCCTCCCGAGGGCTGGTATTAAAGGGGTGTGCCACCATGCCTGGCAATTGAGAGTTCCTTTTCTGTGATTATGTTTATTAGCATCCATGGGGAATGAACTGAGTTGACTTTAATGTGGACACTCACTGCTCACCTCCACCTACTCCAGCCCTATCTGGAGTGAATAGAAGGTTGTTTGTGTCTCCCCAGAAAAAGTCACAGGACAGAGGGACACGGTCCACCTGAGCTGGAGAGAGGAGTGTCCAATCTAAAGAAGGCACTGAGACCCCTGTTTGAAAACTGTTCTATTTTTTCAATAAATACTTATTAAAGACCTATCATCTACTGAGCGCATAGAAACTTGGGAGTCATCAGTGTTCAAAATACATCACAAACCTCCTGCTGCCATAGAGCTTACATTCTAATGGAAAGAAAAGAGCTACTGTAACAAACTCAAGAAGCGAACCCTGAAGAGTGTGGTGATGAGGAGGTGAACTGGGGAGAGGCAGGGTTGGTAGGGCTGGCTGGTACGGAGAAGGTGGCTCTTAGCAGACTCCAGGAAGTGGGAGTGTGGGGTGCGCAGGGATGCCTGGGGCCACTGGCTCCAGCAGAGGGGCCAGGCTCTAGGATGGGCGAGTGGTATGTTGGAGAAACGCATGACAGTGTGGCTGGAGGTAAGAGCGTGTATGATGGAGGAGTAAACGGAGAGGTGACAGGGTCTGAAGCATTTTGGCCTTGCAAGCGCTTCCAGCTTCTCTGGAAGAAATCCCTCATTTGAGTCATACTTACTGTACAGATATCAGTGTTTCCAGTATAAGAAGGAAAAAATAGCTATAACAAAATGGTAGTACTCTAATCAGTTTGGAGAAAAGAGCTGAGGATACTTTTATTAAATCTGTTAGTTTATCTTCAGTCCTGGGGATCGAACCTGGGGCCCTGTGAGTGCTAGGTCAGCACTCTCCCACTCAACTGCACCCCCGACATCTTTCACTTGTTATTTTGAGACAGGATCTTGCTAAGTCGCCCAGGCTGACTTGGGCTCTCTCTGTAGCATAAGCAGACATTGAATTTGCAATCCTCCTGCCTCAGTTTCCTAAGTAGCTGGGATGACAGGCCTATGCCACTAGGCCAAGCATTTGTGTGTGTGTGTGTGTGTGTGTGTGTGTGTGTGTGTGTGTGTGTGTACTGTTTGAGGTTTTGTTTTTGTGAATCATGATAATAGAAGTGTTTGACATATGAAAGTAAAAAAAAATAAGTAAAAGAAGGTGTGTGGAACCAAGAGATAGATAACGACAAACAGCCGGCTGCAGGAGGGACTGAAGTGAAGAGAGGCTCACCAGGAATTCCCTTTGTGCCCAGGGAGTCCCCTTGGGGAGGTGACTGGACTTATTCAGAAACTGAACAGAAACTGAATGCTATGCGCGGCAGGATCAGGAGTGGGTGGAGTTCAGCCAGGCTCACCAAAGAGGGGCTGACGAGGAAGGAGGAAAGCAAGGGAAGCCGGAGGGACAGACAAGGGTAAGGAGTGTGGTAGAGCCACACACATGAGGACTGGAGTGGTCTTTGCCACCAGAGGGACTAGACACTGTGAGAGACATCACCTAGGACAGGGCAGCTGAGCAAACAGTAAGACGGAGCATGCTAAGAACTCCCTGTGACTTTCTCTAAGGACATCTGGACAGAGTGGAGAAAGATCATGGCAAGAATCAGTGGTCCTGCCCTCCTGTCTGTCAGGGAAGGACACCCGGGAGCTTCCACAGTGGGCGGCTGCCAATGACAGGGCCGCCCATTCTGGGAGACCCACCCTTTACAACAGGGCCACACACCCTCCACTACCTCTCTGCTCCTCTCTTGCCTGCACCGTCGGGACCCTGGATGTGTGCAGAAAACTGGAGAGATGGTCTATTTGTTCATGTTCCTTCTGCTCACAGGCCACCCCTCCTGCACATACCAGACGACACTAGAGTAGGCAGTTAAAGAGGCCTACTGCGGTCCTGGAGATAGACTTGGCTATTTGAGCAAATACTGCAGGGTCCCAGGTGTCTGGAGGGTAGGCATGAACATCTCGCCTGGCTGGGTGAGCTCTTTGCCTGCAGGGACGAGTGTAGAAGGGAGGCAGCCAGAGCTGGTCCTTTCCAGTGCACACTTTAACACACGCACTCGGCTTTTCCTACCCTCATCTGTTCTTTAAGAGACCTTTCTACCCAAAGGACAGATGAGGGACAGACAAAGAGCAGCAGAAACGGCTCCGGTTTGTGGGTGAACATCCTGGGACTCAATTCAGGAGGTGGGTTTGGGGCTGTAAGGCAAGCACACTCACACCTGAATAGAAGGTGATTCTTTTGGTACCTGTGTTAAGCAATGTATCTGGAGGTACAGAAGTGACAGTGTAGGAACATGCATACATGTACGCAAAACACCCATACACAAATACACCTTAATCTTTGTTTGTTTTTGTTTGTTTATTTTGAGACAGGGTCTCACTATGCAATCCTCCCTGACATGGAACTTGCTATGTAGAGCAAGTTGGCCTCAAAGTCACAGAGATCCATCTGCCTCTGCACCCTGAGCGCTGGGATTAGAGGTGTGCGCCATGATGCCCAGCTAGACATCATGACTTGTATTGTTTGGGGTTCTCTAAAGGAACAACATTAGTAGAATGAGTACAGATTACAAAGGAAGTTATTAGACTGGCTCACACAACAGTGGCCGTCTGTACCTGGTAGCTGGCTGGTCCTTTAGACCTCAACAGCCCTAGCCTGGCAGTGAAGACAGAGGATTCCTGGAAGGCCACAGCTCAGGTTTCTTAGTGACCTCCAAGATGGCTTGAGCTTCAGAGTGAGACCCTGACAAGGCTTTGCAGTCGGACTGTCCGTTAAACTTCATAATAAGCTCACCTGTAAGAAAGGTGGTGCTGGGGCTGAAGAAGCGGCCCAGCCTTTAAGAGCACATGAACCCATGTCAAGAGTATCACAATTGCCTATCACTCCAGCTCCCGGTGATCTGACGCCCTCTTCTGGCCTCCATGGGCAACGGCACTCGTGTGCACATACACACAGAGAGACACACAAAATAAAAATACATCTTTACCAAGAAAAAAGCAAAAGTGATGCTAGTTGGTACAGCAGCGCACACCTGTATCCAGCACTCGGGAGGCTGAGGAGGAGGCGGAAGGATGGTGAGTTTGAGGCCCATCTAGACCACCTAGCTAGACGTTAGAAATGTAAGCCTTTCTGATGACGACAGGGATGACGTTCTACTAAAGAAAAAAACTAGACGGAAGGGGCGGAGCCGGAAGCAGAAGTCGGAGCGGAGTCTGCAGCGTCTTCGTTGCCATGGAGTCCGGGAGCAGGGACGAAGCGCAATCCTCAGTTTCCCAGGCCAATATGTCCCTAGAGACCGAGGGGACGTCCACGCCGCCCCGGGAAAACTCCAGGGTCAACAGCTGGCGCATCATGAAGTCTTCCTTGCGGTCCTCGCTCGGCTTCAGCGATGGTTGCCAGTACGGCTTCCCCACGAGGTCCCTCCGCGCTGGATTCCAAGCGCTCCCGCCGCTCCCGGAGCCACAGTTGCTGCGTCTGCGCCCCGCCTCGCTGCGCACGCAGGACATCTCACATCTGCTTGCCCGCGTCTTCCGAAACTTGTACACCGCCCAGGTGATCGGAGAGGACTTGAGTGACAGCTTGATCAAGGCCCGCGGCAGTGAGGATTCGCGCCAGGAGGAGTTCTTGGACCAGCTGCAGCAGGTATATAGCGGGTGCGGACTCTCCCGGGATGTGCACAGGATGCAGCCGCGCCGAAGTGAAGGACGCTATCCAAACTTTACATGTACGCATGTAAATGACATCTCCAGCGCCTTTCTCTGCACACATACACGTTCTATGTTGCAAATACAAATGAAACGACTGGAGCGGACTGCTCAATAGTTTGTTCCTTGTGGGTGATGAAACCCAGTCACCCTCCTCCCTGGGGGTGACTATCGCTAACCACAATCATGGCTGAGGCATTCTTGCCCACGTTTTCAGATCTCTGGGTCGGCAACGTGGTTTCCTTTTCTGCACTGGGCAGCCAAACGGCTGGCCTGGGTCCTCCCTGACGAGCCTGCCTTTGCCGGCTCCCTGTTGAGGACTCCCTTCCCAACTCTCCCTACACCAGCCTCTGGGTCCTTTCTTTTTCTTCTCCACTCCTGTCCTTCACTTGTCCCTTACACGACGTGCCCCTAGCTCCATTCGTGTCCTGTCTAACACATTTATTAACTACCTACTATGTGCGGTACTCATTCCTAGGCAGTGAGGATTCGGTAGCCCTGAATTCATCACGAGTGGCATACCTCTCAGTGGTAGGGTGCTTGCCTGGCAAGGGTAAAGCCTCAACCCCCAGCAATGTGAACAAACAACAGACAAAACTTAAAAAGAAAATAGAGCAGCTGATAAGATGGCTCAGCAGTAGAAGTATTGCTGTTAAGCTGTGACCCCCCAGTATTACGCCCCTCTCCCCCAGTGGCAGGATATTGACGGACTCTGTCTCGGGCAGGTAATCATAGCAGAGTGAGATAGGACTGCAGTGCCAGGTCGGCCCACCTCCCTCCACGCTTCCTCTGTTGTTGGTGAGCTTCCCTGAGCCTTGGAGGGAGGGAAGGAGGAACACAGAGCTCCCACTGATGACGTGAGATTCAGCAGGCCCTTAGTCTCAGTTCTGAGATTTTTGTTTGTTTTGTTTCTGTTTGTTTTTCAAGACAGGGTTTCTCTGTGTAGTTTTGCACCTCTCCTGGAACTCACTATGCAGCCCAGGCTGGCCTCGAACTCACAGAGATCCACCTGGCTCTGCCTCCTGAGCGCTGGGATTAAAGGCGTGCGCCACCACTGCCCGGCAGTCCTAAGATTGTTAGGAGCTCTGCAGTTACTACCGTGAAAAGGAGCGTCTCTACCCACAGAGACGAACACTAATCTGATTGTTGGAAGCACTGGCTCTCTTGATCTGAGGTCTCCACACAGTCTTGTTGGTCTTCCCCAGTTCTAGCTACAGAAATACTGTACTGAATACATCCTTCGGCTTGAACCTGCCTCCACCACATACGGCCTGTGTGATGTTATGCATTTTTTTTTTTTACTTCTGTGTGCCGTGGTGCTTTTCATCGGCAAGAGGAGAGGAGGGCAGTGTTAGGAATGGTGGGGCACACCTTTAATCCCAGCACTTGGGAGGCAGAGCAAGTGGACCTCTGAGAGTTCAAAGTCAGCCTGGCTACAGAGTGAGTTCCAGTGCCTATCTAGGGCTACACAGTAAGACAAACAAACAAAAACAAAAACAAAAAAAAAAACTTTAAAAAATGATGA